CTTCTTTGTGGCTAAGCAGGAATTCGTTTATTAAATTCCCAGATTGGTATTTGGATAACATATGTGGGCCAGTAATCTTAATGTGGTAGTAAATAATCACGTATAGATCATAGACTCCAAAAACCACATGGGGCCATTTGATTTGGGTTTTATTCAGAGAGAATTAAGATTACCATGTGCCAGTCATCGTTCACGTATCTCTTTTATTGTTTGATTGAATCCCTATCCATTTGAGAAGAATATTTTCACTCTTGGTTTTCTGATTGGTGTTTTAAAGAATTTTCATACGTCATCAGCCTAATATATATGTGTAATAATAGATTCTGATTATTTTGGAAATTCAGGTCTCAGTTCAGACTTGAATGGGGCATTCATTGCTTGGATGGGTGGAAGTAGGTGGAGGGGAAGAAAACTTTGTTTGCTTTTTAGTGTTTCTGGCCAATTAGAACATTCCTACCCCCTACAAATTATAGTAGTCTGGAAATCCGAGGTAAAGATGAGTTCCGTATATGTCCAGTTTGTAAAATATTTAGGCCAAACTATGTGATTTGATGCTTTTCAGTCTGATGGAGACAACTCTGGTAGGAACATTTATCGCAGTGCATAATTATGTTCATTGCTCTCTAAGAGTCATACAAAGTGACCTAAAAGACAAAATTCTTTTCCTCTTTTGCTTGAAAAGGATGTCACTCATGAATATTATATTATTTAAGAGACTCATGGCACAACCCTGCATGTCAAAGACAACTTGGAAGTGTACAGGAGCCAATAAGCAGATAACTTTAATATGATTAGTAAGTACAAAGTGTATGTGCCACGTGCGAGCTGATATGTGTTTTGTTTGGCTTGTATGTTGCTTTACAAAAAACTAAAAGCTAAAAATGAGAAGATCTGATAATTGCTGTATTACCTATTCTCAGACAGACAGTCAGCTGGAGCTGAGTTATTGCTGCCCTCTTTAGATGGGGCGTGTACTCTTCAGCTTGTCTCAGTTCTCCTCACTATGCAGTCATCATAGCCAGTGAATAAGCTGGGCTCAAGGATTTTACCTGCTTTCTGAGGAATAAAGCAAAGGAAAGTTGGCTCTCTTTTCCCTTACTGGAAGTAAGAGATGGTAATGATGAACCACTATCTAGATCAAATAAATGAGATTAAAATGCTAGTATTTGTTTTATCACAATTTTCTGTCAGTTGAGATTCTTGAACTATAGTTTGGGCATGTCTGTTTTATATTTCCAAGTGACTTCTGAACATGAGGTGAAGATGGTTCTGGTAGTGGCACTTTGGCTGTGTGACTCTACTTATGGAATATCTATTCATTATTTGCAGTAGGAAATCCTCTCTCTCCCAAATTGGTAGATAAAAATTAACTTTAAAGCTTTTACTTCTGAAGCAAAAAGAATTGCTCAGGATTACAAATTAAATGGCTCTGAGTAAGATGGAATTTTAACATCTTTACTTCTATTTATGAAAAAGGAAGCACTTTCTAAAATCTCTTAAAAAAATTTGAGCGCTTATTAAACTGTGATTTAAAATGGCATTATTTGAAGGTAAAATTAATAAGAAATGTTAGTCTGTTCTGTGAGTATCATGTAGAAGTTTAGCCATTTAGTGCTCTGATTGTCAATAAAATGTATTCTGATGTATTTTTAGTTCAGAATAGTAGTGAGTGTTTTTATAATGTTGCTGTTCCAAAGTCTCCACTGGAGAGGAGAAAAAAATGTATGCTTTTGCAGGCTGTTTTAGTAAACAAGACCTCTCTGGAATTCATTTCTTCTTAAGGGTTCATGCCCTTGGGTTTTACGTGCTCAAAGATGGCACATGGGAACTGATTATAATTCTCTTCTCTTGAGGTCCATCATGCAGATGTGCACAGGGTGAGATCTGGCATGCCTGCTCCCAATTTCAATTCCTTTCTTTCCCAATGACCACATTAAGACTGGTGAATTTTGTGTTTTGTTTTTTCAGTTACTGCGTTACTGTGGTGCATCTTGAAGCCACTTTGGGCATTTGACTTACTTTTATCACTTGTTTTATCTGTCGCTAATATTGGAGTTTTAAACAAATATTGGAATTTTAAAACAAAAAGATCAATTTGCAAATGCTAAGTTATGGTTAATTTAGATTCACTTCTTCTGTGAAAACAGTCCAGTATTTACAAAAGGATGTCCAGCATGTTAGTGGAGAGAGCCGTGAATGGGTCTCCTGTTTTTTGATAATTACAGAGTAAAGCTGTAAGGCTCAAGTCCTTTGATTTTTCCAAATATGAAGGGTGAGTAAGGGAGACGTGTAAAACTTGGAAATTGAGACTGAGCCACGTTTTTGGATTTGTTGTATTCAGGAAGCCTTTTACAGGCATTATTTAAAAGAAATCACATGATATTTGACTTATACATGGGTGAAGTCAAATTTCCATCCTCTTGTGGTTTCTGCCTTTAGAAATTTTGTTAGATAGACTTTCCCTTTTTATATTTTGTAGGGATAGGTATTTTTATTGTTATAACAATTTTTGAATGTCTAATTATTAGTTAGTGTTAGTTGAAACTAGGCCGATTCTTTTTTGATATATTTTAGAGCTCAGTGATTGAATTTACGTAGTTGTGCTTTTTTGTGTGTGTTGGTGAAGTGTGTCTACTTGAATAGGAAACTGATTTGTATAGATGTTAGCTTTTCTTTATGAGAAGATGATCATATTCCTAATATTAGCATTAGTTCTTGGTAAATAAAAATGATGTATTGTGATGAAAAGACTGCTGACCTGGGTGTCAGGAGGCATTCTTGTTTTAACTTTGCACTGCTTAAGTTTGTGTTCTAGGGCAAGTTTAGTTAACATCTTTGAGCCTTCTTTTCTTCATCTGTAAAATTGAAGAGGTGAACTTTGATTATTTTTAAAGATCAATTCCAGTTCATCTGACATCATATAATCTTTTAATTTTAAAGAGTTGCCTTTCTAGAAAACAAAGTGTTTCATTAGTCATTGCATATTATTTCCCCCCTGTGTAGGAATTTTGAAAGTTGTGTTTTTGTACTTAGTTAATCAGCGTTTAATATATCACCCATATCCCTTTATGCACTGTTACTTTCTAAAATTGGTTTCAACCTTTACTTATCTCTCATTTCTTCCCCATTTTCCAGCCAGAATGTTCCAGGTTATTACCTCTAGAATATGCTTCACACTTTTTTGCTTCCATGTTTTTGGTCACACTATCCCTTTCCATGCACTTTTGCCCATCTCCCAGCCACGCTGAGCCTCTATAACATTTCCTTTATAATTATTTTGGCCTTGTATGATAGCTGTTTATGTATTGTGTTGTGTTATATATGAAACTGTAAACTCCTTGAAGGCAGGTGTTTAATTTTCATCATTTTACTAATCTTATCACTAATTCACATAATACTTTTCACACAAATATGGGATTAATTAATATTTGTAGAACTGAATTTGTAAGAGGATTAATGATAGATACAGGCAATGGCTATGAACAGTGAAAAATGAACAGGATAATAAGGACATTAACTTAGCCATTTTGAATTAAAGCAGTGTTTTAACCATCTTTACTGACTGCAAACATTTATATTCCATGGTCACTTATATACTATTATTCCTGCCTCCCATCCATTCATTCTTACTGAGTCATCTAAGTATTTAACACTTCTATTTTTTCTCTGTAACCCACTTAATTACTTGCCTTCATTCCTCATTGTAGTTTAGCACTGGCATGGTCTTAAAATTTTAATAGTATCTAATTTTGTTAACACATTCTTGCTTTGATTTATGCATGTGTGTGTGTGTATGTGTGTGTGTGTGTGTGTGTGTGTGTGTGTGTGTACTTTCCTGACTTTTATCTCCTGGATCTTGTTCATAGGGTTATCAACTTTAATCTATTCTTTTGCACTCTTCAATTTACATTTCTTTTCACTTACTCTTTTACTTTTGAGAAATCATTCATTCCGTATTTCTTAAAGGCACATGCTCTTTGGTTGCTGTCTCCAGGCAGAGTTGACATTGACAAGTGTCTTAAAATCAATCTACTGTTGGGGGTTGATGGTGGAATTGCTGGCTCAGGAATGAGCTTCAGTTAGCTCTGTCAGACTAGTACTCCAGTATCTTTTTAGTGGGAGAATGTCTGCAGAGGCAAAGCTAGCACCAGCCTTTTGGTTAAAGATGTTGATACTGATTGTGAAAAATGTCAGATGTTAACGGGCATTTTTACCAATGGACTTTTTGGAGGATGATACCCGAATTGTAGAATTTATCAAAGAATTTGAAAATGGCTGTGTTGGGCATGGATGAATGGGTAGAAATGATTTTTTTCCTCCTTTGATTGAATGATCTTTCTACTCTTGAATTAATTATTGTCTGTGATGGATGAGTGTTTGGTTTGGACTGGATAAATGAACAAAGGGCAATAAGACTGAGTAGAAAAACTGAAAAGAGATGAACAGTAAAAGATACAAGGTAAAAAAGTCGCCTATCTCTGTGCCATTTGGAGTCAATAGTATTTATTGAGGGATTCTTTGGAACATTATGTTAAAGAAAGGGGACTTGAGAGGATAATGTGACAAAGCGCAGATGAAATTTCTGTTAGACTAAGTTTAAAACTATATTGTTTTTAGTTCTATTTTTATGACACATCTCAGTCTCCAAGAACTTACTGTATTACCAAATATTTAAATCAGGTATTATATTCATATAATAGTAAAGAGTAGCTTATACATTCTTTAAGAAGTATATTGCTGTTTAAATAGCTTTTCTCAGAAAGTATGTAACTGTTTTTAAGGCAATATCCCTTTAAGGATACAAAAGAGGAAAAACATGCACTGTCCATTGTGTTCAATCAGCAATAGAAAGTAAGCAGGGAGTATCCAGGACTCTTTTCCTTAGTATTTGTAGTAGAAGCATTTTATCATAGAGAACAAAATTGCATGTTGACGTAAGAAAATAATTTTGGTTAATTTTAATTTTAGAAAATATTAAGCCATTTATTTTATTTTAACAGGTATCTTTCAGATGAAGGCATTGAAGCTTGCACAAGTTCTCCTGACAAAGTCAATATAAATGACATCATCCTGATTGCTCTCAATGTAGGTTTTGTTTATTAACTTATAAACATTTTAATCTAGAAGCTATATTCATTAAAAACAGCTCATAAAATGAACTGGATTTTATGATAAGTAATATGGAGAACATCTTTCATTTCTCTTGTTCATTTTAAGTTGTAATGTTTGTTGAATTGATAATCTCATATCAGCCAATTATTAGAAATATATATTTCTTTTAACATCTATTACACAGAAATCCAATGAAAAAGGAAAACGTACAATTAAAACTCCTTTTTTGTCACCCAGCGATCAGTTATAGAATCTCATAACATTTATAGTGGCTATATAATAGCAGTAAAAATTGATCATATTCATTAAAACAAAGTGCCATTTAATTAACTTAGAAATTCTAGCTAGGTTATAGTTTTTTGGCAGTTGTATTTATTATTTCAAAATAAATTTTCCTGTCGATAAAAGTAATTTATATTGTAGAACACTTCAGAAAACACAGAAAAGTAAAATAAGGAAATTAAACCTACTTATAATACTGTCAATGTTTTGGTGTCTATTTCTTTCCAATCTCTCTCTCTCCATCCACTGTATAGCTGTATCTTTTCCATAATTGGGATTGGCTTTTGAATTTTCTCAAAGAGTTATAAAAATTATTTGAAATGTAGATGTAAGTAAGAAATATTCTTTTTTCAATCTTACAGTTTCCCCAGTGGAAGTTTTTTCATATTGCCTTTACAATAACTATCTATTAACAATCAAATTTACATATTATGATGCATAATCAGTGAAATTCATAAGAGAATTACTGTCTGATAGATCCATCGTATCACTACAAAATAGGTGTAACAAAGCAGAAATGGGGGCAACTTAGTAGACTGTTTAAAATATAAATAAATATATCACTGTGCATAACTTTTTCTTTTCATATCATTTAAATTTATATAGTTGAGTTTAAACTTAGAGATAAAATTTATATTTTGTGAGCTGTCATTTTTTCCTGCTTCTTTAAATTTTATTCAGTAAGACTAACGATTTCTTTTTTTGTTTCTGAGCTAAGTATTTAGGTTTTTGTTTATTGTTTTAATAAACAAAAGACTATAAAATTTTTAAAATAAGCATTAATTAGAAATTAACGTGTTTTTAACTACAAATGGAAATATTCCCTAGACATTTTAACTTTCTTTGACTCACACCCAAGTTAGTGAATTCTGCTTTTAAAAAATGTTATAAAGAACTCTTACTTTGTTTATTAAAAAAAAAAATCCTAAAGATGATAGGAAAGATATTTTGTGACAAACTTCTGCTCCTCTTTATTTTTCTTGTTTATATTCTTAGGTAAATAGCAATGAATGATCTATAATTGGGTGTGAAACTTTAAAATAAATCAAGATGAAATATTTGTCCTATGCACATGAGAGGTACTTCTTGACAATTATCTTAATGAATTAATTTGTCTTTATAATTTTCTCTGAAATATATAGTTGAATACTCCAATCCAAGCTATCATGCCACATAATAGGGGGAAAAACCCTTTTAACCAGGGTGAAGTGTACATCAGACAAATAATCTACTTGTCAAATTTATTACCTTTAACTAAAATCAAGCATTTATAGTATTTCTGTTGATTTTTTTTCAACTTTTGAGTGATTGTGGGATATTAATCACTAGTTGAGAAAGACTTATATTGTTGATTAATATTGTATGTTACTTATTACATACTGGGAGAATAATCCATGCACAAGCTTTCTTACGTTCTCTTTCTTCCTCCTGTGGGGGACACTCTGAGCTTGTTCCTTTATCAAGCAGTGAACAGTGCAAAAATAGGTATACAATGTTTCTGCCCAGGGAAGTCCATTAGAGACTAGTACGTAAAGCTTTTATTGAACTGCTCATGAAGGTACTGTCTGCCTAACATGAGAGAAAATTCTAGACTCTTCCCGAAAAATGCAGGTGTTCACCATAAGCACATTGTTTATACAAATAGTCTAGGTAGTGAACCACCTTTTCAGTTAGGAAATGGTTCAAGTGTAAAGTTCCTTGATGCCAGCCTACGGCCACCCTTGTAAAAGCAGGCTCTTCTAAAGGTAGCAGCCTCAGAGCTGCTGTGTAACGCTTTTCTGTGCATATTTTTATACTGAAAAGGAGTGTACTTAATTTTTTACTCTGTAGAATGAGGGGTTAGAGTATTAAGAAATAACATTGAAATCCACCATGTGGTTTTGGGTTCAAATACTTGAATTGTTCAGAAAAAAATTAACTGATAGTCTAGTCTTAAATTCCTGAATACTGTGTATTAGTAAAAATGTAATAACAGATTTTATTTCTTTTAAGATTCTGTGTAATATAAAATGATTTGCCAAATATATAGTCTGTTAAACTTACTTGAATAAATAGTCAGGAATCTTGTGTATGTGTACACTTGTGCATGTGTATGTATAGGCTAAATATTTCTGTTGCATAATTTTTTATGTTCAATAGAAGTGTATTTTTGGACCAAGTTGTCCTACTGATTCTGATATAATGGCATCTGAATCATAAAATTGCCTTTGTAATACTTATAAGTTGACTTTGGATTTGGGATGTTTAAAGATTTGGTAGGTCATTTTCATCTTGCTAAAAGGACAATGAAATAATATTCCTTATATGGATGTAAAGCACTGTAAAAGTTATGTAAACTTTGAATATATTGTCTCCTTTTAGCCTGACAGCAACTTTGTGGGATAGAGTTGGTGATATTTTTCCATTTTATAGAAGAATAAATTAACTGGATTTAGAATCAAAGTTTAGGATTTTAATTTAGTGCTCATTTCTACTTTATATTGATGCCTCATTTTAGTTTAAATTGTTTCATAATTATTGATAAAAACCAGAAATGAGGGACCATGGTGTATCATAAAATTTGTATATATTTTGTTTTCGTACATATTTAAATATTTCAGCCTTTGAGTGACTTCAAAATAATACTTATGCTTTTATGAGCTGTTAGTTGTATTATTGACTTAATGGTTATACATGTTCAGATGACAGCCAAATGTACATGTTTTATATTCACTAAAATAAACATGATAGCTAACATTCATTCAATGCTTACTCTTTGCAAGTCATTGTGCTAAGTGCTTCACATGTATTAACATTTAATTTTCAAAACAATTCTAATATAGAGAAAGCTGGTATACGAAAGCATTTTTTGTCCGTACGTCACTCAGTATTTTCAAGTGAAAAGTCATACAGCATGAGGTATGGTTTATAATTCTCTCACTCTGTTATTGGATGGAGGCTGCAAAAAGGATAAACCTAAAGCATTATTACACAAGTGTTTGGACTTGGGGCTTAGTTTGCCTGGCATTTCCATTCAGTGAATTTTAGTTTAGGAGTGATCCTTGTGTTACATTGAGATATAAATTATGAATCATGGTAGTAAAAGACTGGAAAGGATCTATGGGGGTTGTATAACTTATATGCTTGTTTCTTAAGCTGACCACATGGATATTTCAAGTGAGAGGACATTCTATTATTGTAGCTGTTCAAGGAAGACTATCCTGCTTCTCTATATGTATTCATTTCATATTACAGTAATTTTAATCATCTAGTGTTTTCTCCTTAGATCTAATATAAATTTCTCCCTTATTTATGTGAATAAATGCACCATAAGTCTATTTTCCTTTATTTTGTTTTTCAGGCAATGAAGAGCTACAAAACAGTGTAAATTTAGTTATTAATCTAACCTCATTCTCACAATCATCAAGATAATTTCTTAGCTTAAATAACTAGGCCCTTTTCATGAGTATTGATAATTTTCCTCTGAACAAATTTTTACCATTCCTTAAAAAAAATCTTTAAAAGTTCTACTTTTTATGTAGGCTGCCTAGTTGAAGTTTTGTTTTTATGTCAGAAATGCTGTAACTCTGTTTATATTAGTCCTTATGTTTTCATCTTTATGTTTCACTTTGGTTTGCTCAGTAATTTGTACTTCGGAGTTTTCATACAATCAGTCATTTGTTCACCAGCTTTGCTTTCTGTAGTTTATTTAAGCAAATAAAATAAATTTTTACTGTAGTAAAGTCTTACTATAACTTGTTGCTGTTGCAGTGGTATTGTTCCCTGGGATATTTGTATGTTGTGTAGCTTCGTATATTATGGGTATCACAGCCTATAGAGTAATGTGCTTTCATGTCTCTGCATATCAAGGTCTTTTAGGATTCATTTGTCAACAATATACTCTGTTTATCTATTCAAAAGTGGTCATTTGGTTTTGGATTGTGGCATTAATTTTTTAGTAAGACTATACATAAAATCAAGTTTTATATTTTAATAGAGAAGATTTAGTAAGTTAGAAGGTTACCTAAGTTAAGTTTATCTAAATCAGTTACCAGAAATAAGGCCTTATTACTGTTCAACTTACTGGCACACTTTAAACAACATGTATGTATGGGAATATATTATTTGAAAAGATTGATTGTATGTATAGATCTTGTAATCAGTTAAAAGACATTTATATAAATTTTGTTCTACAAACCTTAAGTAATTTCATCTTTTGTTTGTGAGTGAGGTTCAATTTAGATTTCCTTTTCTCTGTAATTATATTTTAATAATAATATTTTTATTTTAGACAGACTTGAGAACAATTGGCAAGAAATTCCTCCCCAGTGACATCAATGGTGGAAAGGTAGAAAAGGTAAAGAAAAATGTTAACTTCCTAAATTATGCTAACTTCAATAAATATGAACATCTAAATTACTGGAATTATTTTTTGTCAATAAAGACTGCAACTGCAAAATATTTTGGAGGGGAATATTCACAGAGTTGTCATTATAGTGACTTCCTGTACGTGTGGAAAATTATTGAGTTAAACTTTTCAACATTTAAAAACCTTTTGTTTCAGGAATTATAACAGTGGCACACTTACATGTGAGACTTTCCAGATATTATCAGAGCTCAGAGCAAGGACTTTTTTTTGTGTGGGGAAGATTTGCGCTGAGCTAACATCCGTCGCCAGTTCTCCTGTATTTTTTTTTTGCTTGAAGAAGATTAGCCCTGAGCTAACATCTGTGCCAGTCTTCCTCCACTTTTCATGTGGGATGCCTCCACAGCATGGCTGAGGAGTGGAGTAGGTCCGCATCTGGAATCTAAACCTGCAAACCCCAGGCCGCCAGAGCGAGTGTGTGGAACTTCAGCCACTCAGCCATGGAGCTGGCACCCTGCAAGGATGTTTTTGTACCTTTTTATTTTAGTTACCTGTTACTGTGTTTATTTAATGAACTAATTAATATATAAGATTCTGAGAGAATATTAAGAGCAGTTTGGCAAAGCCATGGATCTGGTAATTGCTATCATTTTTGTGTTATATATATATTCATGTTACGGATTTTTTCAGTGATCTTTTTAAAGTACCAAGGATATGATTTTTTGATACCAGCTAGTCAGTCTTTTACTTCTTATTCATTTATATTCAATTTCTTCTTTTTCTTTGAAAAGACGTTAAATTGTGTTAGCCAAGAATTTCATATGTGCTATTGGTCACTTTTTTAACTATTAAGAAATATCATTATCTGTAGTTTAAGTAAATACTTTCAATGTGTATGTTTTTGTGTCTGAATAAATAATTCTTCTTATTTTAACATTTGGATATTTAAAATACTGTACCTCAGATATTTTAAATTTTAGAAATTTTTGAAAGGCCTATAATGTAACAACATATTTTTCACATTTTTCTTAGTCCATTTATGCAATAGATGGTAATCATTTAGCTGGAAAGAACCGTAAGAGAGAGTTTCTAAGCTACTTTAGTTTTTGAGATGCACCTTCAGAGAAGAGGGTTCTACAGACTCCTCAGCAATTCATTTTAATGTTTAACAACATTCTGTGTCAGCAAACTTTAATTATATTTTAGCCTAAATTTCTTACGCTGCATCTTAAAGTTCGTCATGTCTTCTTTATCTTCCCTCAAGGGGAATGGAGAACATCTGGTTACCTTCCCTTATGAATAATTCTTCACATACTTGAAGACTTGTAAATGTCACTACCACAGGTTTCTTTTTGCTAAAGCCATCTATCTTTGTTCCTTTGCTTATTCTCAGTCTCAAGCTTTTGTTCATCTTCATTGTTCTTCTCAGAGTCCTCTCCAGTTTCTTTGCGTTTCTTTTTTTGATTGTGGTAGTTGTCAGACTTCACTGTGCACCACCATCACCCTGGGGCCTGGCTAAAACACAGATTGCCAACCACCTTCCCCCCCCCCCCCCCCCCCCCCCCCCCCCCGCCACCCTAAGTTTCTGATTCCACTGAACTGGGATAGAGTACAAGAGTTTGTATTTTGAACAAGTTTCTGTGTTGTCTACTGGTCTGGAAAACATACTTAGAAAGCTGCCAGGTTATGGAACCCCAGATTAGGCAGCAATTGTGACAGGTCTGATGAGTGCAAAAATTCTTTGCAGGAAGAGTACCGAGCAGTAATTATCAAAGCAGTATCTATGCATCCTTACACTAGTTCATTTAAGAAAATGTGAAAGCTTTCTGGATTATGGGTTTTCCATTCTCTCTCTGTGTCTTGAGGGATTTTGAGAACCCACCTCTGCTGTGAGCTCATGGGGATGGTGCTGATGAGACTTTTCTCTGCTCCCTCCACCTTCTCAGAGCATTTTTGCTTCAAAAAGTTTTGTGCAGTGGATTCTTTAGAATTTCCTTTGAATGTAGCTAACATTAAAAAACAACTTAAAATCTTTGAGTTTAGAATTTTCTGTCCCAAATTTTATTCTTTAAAATATCTTTAATGCTAGTGACTTTATACATAAAATAAGAAGATGTGAAATAAGCCCTTCTCACATGAAACAGATCGAGTTGGATACCCCATCCCCATTTCTGTTTTTGCTTTTTGATTGTATTTTTCCTTTCATTACGTACTTCTAACACCAAATATAATTCTATTCATGGTGTTAGTGAAGATGCTTTGAAAAATAATTTTAATAGAAATTTTAGAAGCTGACCCAAAAGAATTGTTCATTTTTTTTTCCTTGTGGTTAAAACTTCATACAATATATAAACATATAAATATGTTTAGGCCAAAGTAAGTGTTTAAGGAATATATTTTTGACATGAATGGAATTACTTGTGTTGCTTCCTCCCTTTTTTTTTTACTTGTGCTTCTTTGTAAAAAAAAAAGACTAATGCAGTAAAAGCTTTATTGTGCTTTTATTGGAATGCTTTATTAACCAGCATTTTACCATATTAATGGTAATTGAATCATTATAAAGACATGGCTCTAGTCACTAAATTGTATATGTTATAGTTCTTGTTTAAAATAAATTTTAAATAAAAAATTCAAAATACATTTTGTTTTAATCTGTGCATAAGACATAGGGCAACATTTAGTAAGCAGAGTATTTGAATAAGTAATCTGCCTATTCCTTGAACATGTGAGACTCTCATATAAAATGGTACTATTTTCTAGTTTTCTTTTTACATTAAAAAAGAATGAATGAATGAAAGAAAGAGCTGGGTTACCTTAAGTGATCTTCCAAACAGATCACAGTAGAAATTAACTTTCCCAAAACTAATGTAGACAGAAAACTTAAAATGTGAGATAGAACAGCTGTCCCAGGAAGCAGAGGCGTGGCTGTGATGTGTTTCAGATAGGGTGTGGAGAGGGAGGATAGAACGAGAGGGACTGGTAACATACTGGGAAGGTACAGCTTTGAGAGTCATTGGACTGGATTTAAATCTTGATTCTCCTGCTTGTTAGTTTTGTGACTTCTGGAAAGTTCTTTAATCTTGCTAGATTTTAATTTCCTTATTCAAATATTGTCTCCCTTATGACATTGAAGAATTAAATGAGATAATGTACATGACGTACTAAACATAGTGCAATGTATATGGCAAGTATTGAGGATTATGAGCAATAGAAGATGGTATTTTTGTCCTGGAAATCTAAGAACGCATGAATCCTTATTACCTCATCTGGGTATCTTGTTACTGAGAGATCTCCAGGGAAATTCAGTGAATGAAATAAAGTGAATGGATAGTTCATTATTGACTGGGTTTTGACCCCCAACCCTAACGCAGAACAGCATTACTTGAGCAAAGCTTATCTGAATGTGAAAGAATCAGAGCAGGCCAAAAGCCCTGCTGGGACTATTTCTACTAAGTTCCAAGCCTGCCTGTGATATTACCATTCCTAAGAGAGAGAAAGCCAAAGGAAAATGTGAGTATTCAAGAGCATTTGCCCCAATATTTAAGAGGCAAATACTCAAGAAGCAAGAGAGTTGAAGAGGCTCTCTTCTTAGGAGCTGCCTCCATTAGTCTTATGTGGTCCTTTTAAAAGGTCCTCAGCCATGTGTCTTCCAACCTGCTTGGAAACTCCTTTGCTAGGCCCGAGGCTCAATACAATATGCCAGAGATTCCCCAAGAGAGCATAATCCTCCCTGGAGGTAGATGAAAGAACTGTAGAGAGGAGTCTTCAGGCTTCCTCCCCTGAGAAGCCACATGGAAATGCTCACACGATGTATGTTGTTATTATTATTATTGATAAGACTTAGATAACACCATTTTCAACATGTGCGACTTTGAGAGTGGAAGGGAAGAATGGAGAACTGATAGATCTATGATCAGATAAAAAGACTGTCGGTTTGTATTTAGGAGAAGACGGTTAATCCTGGACATATTGAGTTTACTTCTCTTTTGTTCTGAGACAAATCTGGAGACTTCAGAAGGGTGTTGTCATCTGGAGTTTGAAACTGAAGTTTTAGTAATTGCTATTATCACTGATTAATTTGGGAGAAAGTAGAATGGCAAAAGTACAAGTAACTTTATTATTAATTAATACAGTTTTGCTTAGGTTCTTTTCTCTTTCCTCCGTTCTCTTCTTAGCATTATTTTGCAGTTCCTATATTTTCTCCACAAGGCTTCCCATAACTTGAAGCAAAGGTTTTAGACCAATTAAAAAGTGGTGAGAGTGGGAAGATGAGTTTTCTCCAGGCTCCCAAGCCTAAGCTAGATTTTCCCATGGGCAGTTTACGTTTGGTTTTTAGATTGTGAGAGTGGAAGGATATGTAGTGGGGAAGCCATATTTTGCAAGGTATTTTCTGAGTTTTTCAGGCCAGGCTTTGCATTTCTCAATACTACAAGGTCCTGGAACATGGCTTGTAAGCTAAAAATCATGGAAAAAAGTCATGACAAAAAAGAAATAAAACTATACTTCCTATAAAGCTGTTTAATATTGTTCATATTCTTCTTTAAGTTTAATATTTTGCTGTTGTAATTTTCATAGCTTTAGCCCCCGAACCAAGGTGTAGAAGTTAATTATACAATATAGATTAATGTAAAAAATACTTTACCAGTCCAGCTAAGTGAGGACCTTATGCATTCCTGTGGAGCTCTAACAGGAAAGGCTTTCAGTTCCGTGTTTAACTTTTCCATCTAAGTTCTAGGACTGGCAGGTTGTGTAAGCCTCTTTAAATGTGAAACAGTGATTAAGGCCCTAATTTTTCCCAGTATAAGTGACTTTCTCAAAGCCTTGGCAATACCAACATCACCCACAAGATGGCGTCACTGCCTTAAAATTCAAAGTGAATGCCTGCTTACTTTCAATCTAGAAATGGGATATTTTTGGAAAGAAAAGTAATTGACAAAAGTTTTAAGTTGTAATTTAAATAAAATTGTATCATGTTTCATATATGTTAGTTA